TGGCCTGGCCACTGCGGTCAAAGTCATGTCCTCAGTATCTCCACAGGCCTGCTCTTCCTTCTCTAGGGTGATCTGGGGCCAGAAAGAAACCCTCATTTTCCTCTCTCTCACTTGCCTGCATTCTTTTTTTTCTTATTTTAAAGATTTATTTATGCATACAAGAACTGCAGTATAGGCCAGAGGTGCGGGGGATAAGAGCATTCACCAGAGAGAGTGGGGAACAGAACAGGCGGATTGACTGAAATACAATACAGAGGAGAGCAGAGGGCAAGTCATGAGAGGTCTGTTGTACCATGTGCGTGGTTCCCTGGCCCAGGATTGAACTTATGCAGTGGTTGCAGATAGTTTCATAGAGCTAATGCTTAACCCCTTGTGCCACCAGGGAGGTCCGCTTGCCTGCATTCTAAAGCAGGGCTTCTCAGCCTTGGCTGCAGGTTTTAAGAGGAACCTGGTGAGCTTTAAAGAGGTCCCAATGCCCACGTGAATTAATTGGGATTCTGAACGAATTGGTCTTGTTGAGGATATTAATTTAATGCTTAAATACTTTTTTTTGTTTTTGCATTTTTTGTTTTCCTACGATAAAGCAGACATAACATCAAATTTACCATTTTCATCATTTTTAAGTGTACACTTCAGAGGCATTAAGCGTATTAATATTGCTGTGCAACCATCACTGCCAGAGTTTATTCCTCCCCTGAAATTGAAACTGTACTAAGCCCAGGGCCATCCCCTGGCCCTGTCCTACCTTCTGTCTCCAGGATCTACTCCAGCTACCTCCTATGTCGGGTACATAGAAGTATTTGTCCTAGGGCATCAGTACATTTTTTTTTTTCAAAGATTTATTTATTTGGGCCTCCCCTGGTGGCGCAGTGGTTGAGCGCTGGGCTGTGAAGCTCCCGTAGCCTCTGCAGCGCCGGTTTGATCCCTGGCCACCAGCGAGGGTCCCACATGGCGCGCAGACCTCTCCTGTCACCCTCTGCTCCCCTCAGCAGTGTATTTCGTCAGTCTTCCTGTTCTGTTCCCCGCTCTGGCTCTGGTGAATTCTCTCACCCTCCCGTACTTCTGACTGTAACCAGTGCTTGTATAAATGAATAAATAAAATCTTTTTAAAAATATATAAATACAATAAAAAATAAAAAAAATTAAAAGATTATTTATTTATATAAGCACCGGGTACAGTCAGAAGTGCAGGAGGGTGAGAGAATTCACCAGAGACAGAGCCGATAGCAGAACAGGCAGACTGGCGAGGTACACTGCTGAGGGGAGCAGCGGGCGGCAAGAGAGTTCTGCGGCAGGAGAGTTCTGCGCGCCATGTGGGATCCTGGTCCAGAAGGGGTGGATTGTATTGAACCAGCACCGCAGAGGCTGCAGGCAGCTTCACAACCCAGCGCTCAACCACTGCGCCTCTGGGGAGGCCCAGGCATCAGTACTTTTAACAAAGGTCTCCAACTTTCTCTGTGCGGTGGGGACAAGGGAGTGGTGCTGTGCAAGGGTTGTGTATAAATTTCTTTGGTCAAATAGAATCATGTAAGGATGTGGATAGAGATAATAGTGACAGAGAAAAACAATGGGAGAAAATCCAAATCTCTACCCAAATTACATTTAGGCCAAGTATTATTTTTATGAAAAGTCAGCAGGAAGGAAAGGCTGAACTTAACAGGGAGATCTTCCAACCCTCACTCTGATGTTGAATAGCTGTGTCTGTCCCCTTCCCCCAAGCTCCTTAATATTGCTGAACCCCACTTTCTCTGACTGCAAAATGGAGATAGTCCTATCTACCTCCTGGGGATGTTGCAAAGTTCAAAAACAAACTGAGAGACAAAGTATGAAGTGCATGAGGCTTTGTAAAGTCCAGGGCAGAGACAGTGATAGCTGTGTTGGAAATGGACAAGCATGGCTTGACCCTTAATTTATTTTAAAGATTCACAAGCCTCGATAACCCAAGGTAGAGAGACCCGGCTGCCAGTCATGGCCATAGAAAACTGAATTTACAGGGGCTTAGAGACAGTTAGAGATTAATTTTTAAAATCTAGCCTTACTTCCTGGCCACAAATAGCCCTTAGAGTTTGCAACCGTTTTCAAAAGACAAGCAGCAAGGGTCATTGTGCTATTTTCAAGTAAAAAGGCATTCTGATTTGATAAGTGCACCGAAGAAGCACTAATAGGCATCATCTCTTCGACTTCTTTGCACTGGATGGCAGCACCTGTCCTTTGTGTAGTGAGGCCATGCACACACACACACAGCACTCTGGTGCTCTTGATGATCTCTGGGTTTGTCTGGGGTTGTGTGTGTGTCTTATTCAAACAAGGTTGCACCATGTCTGCTCTTTATTTTTTCATTTAATATGTTAAGAAATAAAGATAGCTATTAGAGAAAAGCAGGAGAGAGAGAGAGAGAGAAAGAGAGAGAGAGGTGGGCAGGAGGGTGAAAAGGAAGGAGAGAAAAGCCCCGTTAGCTTTGTCTTGCTAATGTACTTTGTTTTGTGGCAAGATGGCTTGTTCAGACCACCTCGCAGGAGGGAGGCTACAGCAGCAAGACAGCTCAAGTGGAAAGCATTATTGGCACAAAAGATGCACCTGCAAAGCGCAGCCTTAATCGTCTCTAGAGGCCAAGGCCAATGTCGGAGATAAATGCCCGGGCACCACCTGAAAGAGGTCCTGGCAGCGTGCTTTTGCCTGGGGTCTACAGTTAATTCATCTCACAAGAGGGCTGCTACCCAGCAAGCAAGAGCGAGCTGCTCCTGCAATGAGCCCCAGTAAGCCCAGCGGCCGTACAAATGCACTCACCGTACACAAAGAGCCAAGGGAGGGGAATGCAAGGTCACAGGTACAGGGGGGGACTGAAAAGCTAAACCCCTGGAGGAATAATGAGTCGCTTATCAACACAGTTCAACTCTTATGAACTAGCTTCTAAAGGAAAATTTGTATTTTAAGCTCAATACCAGAAACTCTTTCATTGACTGCCCCAGAGTCTCACTGGTTAATTCTGATGTTGTCTGCAGGTCTCATTGTCTAGAATGGGAGGAGATTTTTTTTTTGAAGATTTATTTATTTATACAAGAAGCGGGGTACAGGCCAGATGTGCAGGAGGGTGAGAGGATTCACCAGAGACAGAGCTGGGAACAGAACAGGCAGATGAAATACACTGCTGAGGGGAGCAGGGGGCAAGACAGGAGAGGTCTGCTGCGCCATGTGGGACCCTCGCCAGCCGACCGGCCAACCGACTGGGGTTGAACCGGCGCTGCAGAGGCTGGGGACAGCTTCAAAGCGCTGCGCTCAACCGCCTGTGCCACCAGGAGAGGCCCGAATGGGAGGAGATTTTAAGGAGTACTTCTCTCCCTCTCTTCCTGCCTTCTTCTCTTATTCTCTTCTCTCTCTTCCTCTTTTCCTCTCTCCTTTTCTCTCCTACCCTCCTTTCCTCTCCTTTCCTGCCCTCCCTTCTCTGTCCCCTCCCTCTTCCTTCCCTCCAAAAAGCAGATCCTATTGCAAATGAAATAATGTACAATAAGTAAACCAGGCTCTGAATAAAGACAGAGCCCTCACTTCCAGCCCCAGGGCATCTCTTTATCAGCCAAGAGCTCTGAAGTCAGGGCTGAGGTCTTCTGATTTATTTCTTCCTCATCATTTGAGAGCAAATGGAGGTTCACAACATGAAGTGATCACCCCTAAAAAAGCCAAAGATGCCCTGACCTCCAATTTATCGTGTTTGTAACCATAATGAATTTTCTCTCCTATGGACATCTACATCATGAGGTAAATAGCTTCAAACACAATGTGGCTTGGACTATAGAATGTGGCTGGACTCAGTATAACAGCAGTTTTCATGGCAAAGACCAATAAATAATCTGATTTGGAAAGGAAAATAGTTGTATAAATAGGACTGGTCCAAGCTGGGACAGAGAAGGAAGCAGATGAGAACACAGAAGTTTAAAAGCAGATTCATTATGCTGTATATTTCCTCCACTAAATTTTCTGGTGATCGTGTGATTATATTTCCTGATTATTAACAGGAAATACAAAGGTGTGACCTTGGCCAAGATGACACTCAGACTGTTTGGGTCATTATTTCCTCCACAACCCAGGAGAATTTGGAACCAAGTGATTTCCAAGCCTCTTCCCTTAGAAGAACTTACGTTTCTCTGAAATATGCTGTGCTAATTGCAACTGGTACTGAAAAATTCTACCTTCCTTTTTGAATTTGGTGAGTATGGGTCAAAGAAGAAGCAGTGAAGGAGCCAAAGGCAAGAAAAGAGATTGTGTGCTGCACTCCTATTCATTCTTCAAGATGCCATCAAAAAGTCCCTGCTCCATCGAATTTTTCTTCTGCTTTGGGCAGGATCTTTTTTTAACTGCCTGTTTCCTAGTAATTATTTGTCTACACTTTATTCTGCCTTAAGCCAGGTATCTTGAATCATACACCTGTATAAATGCCTAGAATATAACAGTAAATATAGCTGGAGCAGTAAATATTGACATCTCACAAACAAAGCCTCTGAAAAACACTACTGTAACGTTTGCTAAAACCCTATTTGCTAAGAGATTGCTTTCTTTCTTTCTCAACCAAACCAAACCAGCCATACCAAACTCCTAAATGACCACTTGAAAAATTAACTGACATTGCTAAAATGTGTTTGGGGGAAAAAAATCCCTTAAGATATGACATGGCAGGAATCCTTAAAATGTTCATTTCATGATCTTCCACAGACAAATCTCCCAACATCAGCTTTGAAAGTGAGCATTCTAAGAGTAACACACTTTCTTTAATGGAGTAACTACTTCAAGCCCAATCTTTATGGTATGAGAAGACATTTTAAAAACTTGTAGTATTTTTTGTAATGAGTGGCACCAGTGGGATAAGCTTTGGCATCTTGCCTTGTGTGTTAGAAAATGCTGAAAGGTATGTAGAACCAACGTTCTCCATGCCCCCCTTAGCAGCCTGAACTGTGTGTTCCACAGCTGGCACTAAGGAACTTTCTAGGTGCATGTGACAGAACACTCACCTTCTTTGACACTCAGCCGTGAGGATTGGTCTGTGTGGGAGGTTGTATTATAGGCCAATAGTGAACCTGAAAGGCAAAGCAAAAGCAGGTTATAACCAGAACATTCCTCTGAGAGCAAGAGCACAAGATGTTCAGAGAAGGGATGGGAAGGGGAAGAGATAGGGAGTAAGGGAGAGGGACAGATGACTGCTGGAGAAAAAAAAATATTAACATAATCCATTTGGGGGAAGTGTCATCGCTTCCTGGAATTAGGGTCCCAGTAAGTTAGGACAGAGCACTGGTGGGTGGGACTTGTTTGTGGTTCTGAAGCCCTTGGGTGTCTGCGTCACATCATGGCAGTGACACAGGACCATGAATCAGAAAGCCAGGATCGGTCCTGGTTTTCTTACTAACTCCCCCTGTGACTGTGGGCAAGTGACTTTATGTGTCTAGACCTTGATTTCTTCATCAGAAAAATGAAGGGGTTGGACTACAACAGGGGTTGGCAAGCGACTTCTGTAAAGACCAGATAGTAAATACTTTCAGCTTTGTGGGCTAAACACAGTCTCTTGCACATTCTTCTTTGTTTTTGTTTTGTTCTGTCCACAGGCCAGCGCTGGCCAGGTTTGGCCTGTACCTTGTAGTTTGCCACACCCAGGGAGAAGACAGTGCAACTCCCTCTTACTGTGACAGTCTCTGGGTTTGGATGCAGGTCTTTCTTGGATATTCATTGTTGGTGAAGGGGAATTGGGAAGGGGGGCAGCATGGGTTAATTCTTTCCTCCCTCGGCATGTGTCTAAGTGACTAGAGCTGAACACGAGGGGCATGCAGTGAATTTCCTGTCGTCTTAGCATGATGCTTGCAATCTCTCAAACTTCAATGACAGACACTCGTCTAGGCATTTTAAAGGCTTGATATTGTTTGTGGTTGTTACATGTGAAAAGTCTTCTCCTTTCCTCCCTAACACCGGACTGCTTCCTTTGTCTCAAGCGATTTCGAGAGTTTCATTCTATAAAATGCAGGCGTTTTTGTTGTTCTCCTGGAGCGTCTCCTGGGGAAATGTGCCTGTGTTCTCAAGACCAGGCCAGGGCTCTGCTTTTACAAATGACAATATCAGCTTGACACGGGCATTGGAGGCTAAGCAAGCCTTTTTAAATAATCCTTTTCTCTGCTCCCTGTGGCTGAGTGGGCTGACTTGGGTGCCAGGGCTTGGAACACAGAGTGGGCTGTCAGACGGCCCTATTTTTAGTCTCCGGTCATGGAAGGCATGCAGGAATGGAGCTGCCGCCTCACCCAGCTGTGGGCGTCTGGTTGCCTGCCTCCAAGGAAGTGTGTGCCCTACCAGGCCAGATGATGAGAGAGCATTTTATTAGAATCATCCAACTGCCTAGAACCTATGACTTCTGGCTTGGGTGACTGTTACTTCTGGCTTTGAAATAGGTCCAGACAGCAGAGGAGGGGTGGTCACTGTATGGAGGCTGTTCTGTGCTTAAGTGTGGAGATGTGGACACCATTTTAGAAATGAGACAGTCACATGCAGGTCACATGTAAGAACCAGCTGCATTTGGTTAGCCCATCTTCAAAGTGTCAGTGACCAAGTCAGGCCAGGACAACCCTCTTTTAGTGTAAGTTGTTATACAAATAAGAAGTTAAAATTAGACTGGCCTTTTACTACTTATTATGTGACTTTCATCTATTTACCTTATCTCTGCAAGCCATAAGCTCCTCATATATAAAATGGGCTAACAATGGTCATCATGAGGATTGGATAAAAGCAAACATGTAAATGGCTCATAATAGACCTTGGCCCATACTATGTGTTCAATAAATGCTAGCTATTATCATGGCTAATTTTAGATCCCTCTCCCACAGACACCACAATTACATACAATAAACCCTTTTTCAAGAGCTTGCTGGGCATTGGTTTTATCCTCTGGAATGGGAGTTATGAATGGGTTCTGCTGCAATAAGAAATAATCCTCCATGGCTGGAAGGAGGTTAAGAAATGGAACCCAACGTTCCAAGGGAGTAGAAAAAACTCTGAGTAGAAAGACCAAGAATGTCTGCCTCTTAGTCCCCGACATTCTCTCCCTCAGGCAGAAAGCTCATGACTGGAGCATATAAAGAAAAATGCTGGTCTCTGAGGAGCAAGCTGTGTGAGTCATTAGGGCAGATTTAGCTGGAGCACGAAGCTCAGATAAACCACATTTATTAAATTTCCCCCTTGGTGAAAGTTCTTCTTTGGGCACACGTGAATTCCACAGGAAACTCCCAGAAAGCCAAGAGAAAGGGTCGTTTGACCTCAGCAAAGCTTGCATGAAATACATATTTCATGGTAACCTAGGAAAGGGATTTTGCCCTGAAGACTGTTCTTGGTTCAAGTTTCACTCCCAGAAGGATGTGGAGGGACTGGTTGGGGCATCTGGACTCTCGCCCAAGGGATCAACATTCCCTTCTCTTCGGCTCTTATTTAACTGGTTCCTCAGGTGGCAGTGGATGGCCAGCACACTGTTAAGGGAACTTGTTCTGAATCAAGAAGGTTTCCCGGAACCTGCCCTCCCACTCAGTGGTTTAGGTTTCTTTCTCCTCCAGGAGGCTGTTCTGTGAGCACTAGCGGTACTGCTGTTTCTCGCCCCTCCTGACACCAGCATAGTAAAGAGTCTGTGAGGGGAGAAGAGAAGCCAGCGCTCTCAGAAAGTGTACTGTGTAATGGATGCTTTCTCTCTAGTCTCTCACTTAATCCTTCCATGAGCCGTGCAATTCCATAAGGGTGGAAGCTTATCCTCTTCCGTTCAGAGAAGTCAAGTAATTTGCTCAGGGTCACACAACCAGAAAGCACAGAGCACAGATGTCTGTCCTGCAAAACCTGCTGTCAGTCCAGCAGACTCTTCAGCCTCCAGGCAAAGTCTAAGAAACAGGCAAAAACGGCCTTGGTGTTGGGAGTCAGCACAGTGGTCACCTTTGAGGAGGAAGGGGGTAGTGATGGAGAGAGGGCACGAGGGGCCTTCCACTCTACCCCTTGATGTGGGGGTGCTACTACAAGTGATGGATTCAGCCTGTGATCATTCCTTGAGTTGTATATAACTTTTACAATCTCTATACTATACTTCAGTGAAAATACTTGTTTATTTGCTTATTTGTTTACATATATATTGTTTACATATGTATACATACATACATACATACACACACATATATACATATATACACATGCATATATATGAATTTATCTGGGGTCCCTTTAGCTCTAAAAAAGCATGAAGTGACTGTTGCTGAGAATGGCATGGCCTTCCCAAAGTGAAAGCATAAGGAAAAAGGAATTTTCCATGTTTGAGTCCATCCAGCACTGGACACAGCATTAAGGATCCGAAGAAAGAGGGAAGCGAACAGAGTAAAGCCTTGCAGCTGTGGAGTTGAGCCATAACAATAGAGCTTTCTTCAGCTCTCCAGTCCTCCAGCCTAACCTGCTCATCTGGGACACCTGGAGTAAGGAGCACTAGGGTCCAGGGGCAAAGCCTTTGTGTCAGCCTCTTAGAGGGCTCACCAGCATCCCCTCGCAGTTGGCCTATTGAAACCGGGTCTTTTTTCTACGCTGCCGTCAATGGCTCAGGCTGAAGTGTAGGTGGGAGAGGAAGGGGGAGGCAGGAGGGATGGAAGGTTTTGTCTCTAGACAACAGGCTGGCTGAGTACTGAGTCCAGAGAAGGCTGGCCTTTGTTTGGCGGGATCCTGTTCTCCTGCACTGCTCAGACCTTGGGCCTGGAAGGGATAATCCTTCACCAGCCTAACTGCCTGGACCCATCACCTTTGCCCAGCCATCCGAGGCTGCCAGTGGGAAGGCCACAACGCACAAAATGTGTTTTCCATTAGGTTTAAATTAAAACTGGGACTCAAGATAGATACCTTTTCTGTGGTCTCCCTGTCATACAATATATTTCATTCTCTTGCACTGCCACTCTTTTAAAATGCAGTTTCTTAGTATTTTTCCACAGGTCAGACCCAAATATGCAGACAGAACATAACTTTTGAGAAAATGAAAAAAGATTCTTTTTCTTTCTTCTGCCTCTGACCACCCCTGCCCAGAACTGCAGGGCTCCCAGAAACCCTAAACTCCCCCCAGTGGCCCTGAGTCTGAACTGCCAGGAGGGCACAGCTCTCCCTCTGAGGCTGGGTCCAGTCTTGCCTTGTGAGGCCCAATCTCATTTCCTGCAGCCCCGTTGGTAAACAGGGCTTCTGCCAAACCGGGCGTGCCTGAGAGAGATACTGCTAGGGCCGGGGGCAGTCATATCCAAAGTGGGGAGCAGGGGGTGGGAGGAGAGGGGCACCAGAGGGAAGAAAAAAAGACACAGGGTTAGCAGGGTGACTGGTTTGGCTTAATCTGCCATGTTCCAGGAGGCCACAAGAAAGTTTCCAGAATGTATTTATCTCTTGGTACAAATAAAACCAGAAAATGCTGTGGGGAAAGTGACTGGCCCTTCATGGGGAAAGCCCTAGGGGAGTGAGCAAACTTTCAAGTAGAGAAGACCAGCATGGCACAGGTGAGCTCATGCCCTCCATTCTTCAGTCACAATTCAAGGCAGTGTGACAGGCCATGTGACTTAGCGGACTGGGTTTTAGATCTAGGCTGCTCACCAGTTTTTCACCTCTGAACCAATTTGCAAGGCACTCCTGGCCTCCGTGGCTTTGGTTTTAAAATGGGGATTATTAATAGGTGTCCTCGTGGTGTCCAAAAGGGACCACCCAGTGCATGTCAAGGGAACAACATCTGTGGACATGCTTGCCTGTGCCCTAGTGTCCCTCAGGAGACTCCAGAGTGATCCCAAATACCATGGGCATCCTCACCAGAGGACATCCTCCTGGAATTTCAAGTGGGGTGGGTATTACACAGGGACGTTGGGGGGTCACAGCCACTCTGTCAGGGACAGTTAAAGTGCCAAGGAATGAAGAACAGCCACGCCAGGCAGACCAGGCAAATTTTAGCAAGCCAGGCCATCGGACAGGGGTAGAGGGGCCCAAGACATGACTATTTCTTCTCCACTCTGGAAAACATACTTTTTTCTATCCAATGTGTAGGTCTAGCTCCCTTCTCAGGCAACCAGAATAAATATTCAGGCACCTTTAGTGAAACTATAAGTTTGATGTCAAAGCTTCTGCTCCTATGAGGTTGCCCTTTCTTCTCTTAAAGTCCAGAAAGATCAGTCACTTTGGAAAAGTGCAACTAAGTGACATGGTCCCATTTCTTCCATTCTTAGTACTCCTTCGACTTTCCTTAGTCCTATAATTCTCCTTCCATCTGTATTGAGGATCTTGGCTATTTCCCTTCCACCCCTTGCCAAAAGTGGAAATGTTTAAACCCCACTCCCCTTCTCAACAAAAGGGCAGATGACAAAGCACAAGGAATTAGCACCCCTTTTCCCTGCCTCCGTCCAGCTGCCCGGGCCTTCCTCCCCAAAGCACTGGCCTCCCTGCCTGAGCAAAAAACATCCGTTAGACTTTTAAGTCTGGAAAAACAATAAGTGTTTGAAGGCGTTCTGGTCAGCAGTAGGGACTTCCCAGCAATCCAGACACAGACACGTGACCTCCTGCAGGCATTGAGCAGGCCAACCACCACCCAACGCCCGAGGGCTCTAGATTCTAAGACTCCAATTAGGAGGCATCATGAAGCACAATTTTTTTTTCTATGATAGTAGGTCATTTAAAGACTAGGACCCTCAAAAGGCCTTCACAGACCACTGCAATACCATGCGGAAGCAAGTTGTTTTGAACCTCAGTGCAAGTATCTTAATTTTTTCACTGCAGGTAGACATAGATTTTATATCAAGGCTCCAAATGCTTTCTATTTCATTGTTTCACTCAACATTGTATCATATATATGCTTTGTTCCATTTTCCCTCAACTCTGGAAATTTGTTTTATTAATAAGCTCCTTTCTGGAAATTTCATAGTTTTATTGTTTGGAGACATCTTCTTTAAGATCTATAAATACTCTCCAAAAGAAAGAAGGAAAGGAGAAGCAATCCATATTTTTTCTTGCCCAAAGACCAGACTCTTGAGCTCTATTCCTTTACAACCTGCTTGCCCTTATCATATGCTCTCCTGCATGACATTCCTGGGCCTTCCGAAGAAGCTCTGGTCTCATTTGAGTCTCTGCAGCTTGCTTTTTCTATGACAGGAAGTCCTAGCAGACACTTTGGCTGTTTATGTCCCCACTGGAAGGCAGGGTTTGGGATTATATGGCAGAATAGGATTTCCCCACATTAAGTCAGAATGTGCTAGAACATATCTCCAACAGGGGCATCTGCCATGGAGCCCAAGACACTTGGGCTCTTTCAGAGTTCTGAGCCCAAGCATCCATGCTTTTGTGCATCTGTTCTCCCACAGAAGAAGAAAAGGGACCCCGTGATTCTTCCCGCCCCTGCATACGATGCCCAAAGAAGCAGAAAGGCTGAATCGCCCAGTGTTTGGGCTTTGCTGGTCTCCTTGTGCCAATGTCTGCATGCCCACTCCCACCCCTGCCCTGCATCATTGCAGAACTCTGTGAAAAGATCCTTTCTTAAAAAGTTCTATAAGCATTAAGGCTAAGAAATACAGAGCTAGAAAATGCTCATTCTCCAAAGTTCAGAGAACTGGGTGGAAAATTGCCTCCTTTTTTGAAATTGTTGTTTCTTGGGCTGACCTCATGTTGCAGCAAGACTCAGACATGAGGTAATCGCTCTGGTGTTAACATATATGCCTCATCCACACTCCCACTGGTTACCAGACGCCTTCGAGAGGTGACCAGAGAGCCCGGAGGCATCGGTGGAAACTTCCGAAGTCTTTTTTTTTTTTTTTTTATTTTAATTTTTACAGAGTGTGTGTTGTCCCTAGCCCACACAGGGCACTGCACACTGCTGCAGAATGAGGCGGAAGATTACAGAAACGGCCAGCCAAAGACCCACTGAGCAGCAGGTAGCAAATGAAGAACTAATACCCAGAGGTCAGGAGGCCAGGAAAAGCAGACCGGTGCTGCTGTCCAAGGATCTCAGCTTTGAAGAATCTTTAAGATCATCAGATGCGGGGCCTCCCAGGTGGCTCAGGGGTTAAGGTGAGCGCTATCAAGCTATTGCCAGCCACTGCGGCCAGAGTTCAACCCCCAGTCAGGGAGCTAACCCACATGGAGCAGCTCCTGTCTCGTCAGCTGCTGCCCTCAGCCTGTTCTGCTCCCCACTCTGTCTCTGGTAAATCCTCTCAACCCCCACACCTCTTGAATGCATAAATAAATAAAATTTTTTTTTAAAAAAATCATCAAATGTGTTCCTTCTGAAACTTAAGCCCTGCAAGTGTCCCAGCAGCCCTGGCCACTGACAGCAACCTGAGACTGTAGGACTGAGGCTGACAGTTAGAAAGCTATGCATGGACTGAGCTCCTTGTCTTCAGCTCCCTGATCCTGGCACCACTTTTAGCCACAGGATACCCTTTCAATACTTAGTGTCACTGATATACCCACCTGGCCTGGATTTCTGGTGAAGAGTTAAGGCCAAGGTCATTAGCAGACCTTAAAAAGAATTCTGTTCTTATCTTTGTGTATATTTCATATCAAATTGATGGGGGCTCAGCGCTAGAGAACCCTCCCATTGGGTAAATCCATTGGTCAACCTCGCACTTTCTTTCATAAATTCATAAACTCTCCTTTTCTAAAGTTTTTTCCAGGGGCAGCGGAGGGAGGTGCTGGTTATTTGGTGGTAGAATTCATGCCTCCCCCCAAAATTCCTTCCCTTCAGACTGTTTCAGGAGGAAGCTTTCAGTAGATCCTCTGCTACTCTCCCTGTTTAGCAAAGAAGGGGAGGAGGTGTTAGTTGGAAAAGGTGGTGTTAGGGAGTGCAGAGATTGGCCCCAAGGTGAGAGGGATTTAATGGGTAGATTTTCAAAAATTAAGTCCTAAATCCATGAAGTTTCTGTAGGAGCTATCAATTAGGAAAATACCAGCCACAGCATCCATCTATATATAATTACAGGGTAAAGTCGTTTCTGGAAAGAGATCTTCAAGGGAAGAGTGTGACCGGCCTCTGGTAGACAACTTGAGTACAGCACCCTGCTTCCTCTCCATCCTTTTATTTCCCTTGACTCTACAGGATAGATCAGCTTCCTTGCAGGGCCTGTAGGAGCCCATGACCTTTGTAACTTTACAGACCCAAATGCAGCTCCTGCGGCACAAGGTCTGACCTGGGGAACCCATTTGGATTGATCCTTGGGAAGCCCATCTTCACCACAGAGCAGTGGGCCTGGCAGCTCGCTCCTGGCCGGGAGGTAGGCTGCACCCTCTGGGGGCTGCCCAGGAACTGACAAGGCACTTACTTTCCCTGAGGTAACTGAGGTGTGATAACAGCATATCCGCGTTGTAGATGGTGGTGCTTCGGAGGAAGTCCTCCTTGGTCATTTTACACAGTTCCTTGCCATCCATGTTCTGGAAAAAGGAAGTGTCGATATCCATCAAGCCGTACTCCTTTATCGCCCACTCCAGCCACTGCCGCACGTGCTCCTGCGTCCACATGGTGGGGTCTGCAGAGGAGAGGAGCCTGTTAGTGAGGGCCACAGGCAGCTGGGTTACCTCCCCTTCAAGCAACCTGGGCAGCCTCTCTCTCCATCTCTGCCTCGGTCCTCTGTCTCCTGCCCTTTCTCCCTCCTCCTCCTGGTTCTCCTCTCTCTCTTCTCTCTCTCTGGATCTCTCCCTCCCGACCTCCCTCTCTCTCTTGCTCTCCCTCTCTATTTTCTCTTTTCCTCTCCTCTCTGCTTTCCTCTCTCCCACCCCTGTCTTTCTCCATCCGCCCCCCTTCCCCACTTCGTCCCCTCCTCCCTTCCTCACCCACACTGTCTCTCTCAGTGGGAAAGTGGGTTCCCACTGAGATGGTCCTCCCAGAACTCCCATCTGGAGCCATGGCATCTGGCACTGCCTGAGCCACTCAGCACTCGGCAGGCTCTCAGATGCCTCACTGCGATGCTGTCAGGACGCTCTTTCAAGTTTCTGGAGAGCCGTTGACACCTTTGCCTGAGAATTGGCATTACCAACATGAAAATAAATACAGTTCCACAGACCCAGGGGCCAGTGTCTCTGGAAAAGGAAGCCGTTTGTACCTCAAGAACACTACCGACTTCGAGGGGGAAGCCGATCTCTCGAGGGCTGTGGGGAGGAATATACACGTACACTGTTACCACAACTGTCTGCGCGTTTGGAAAACCTAGTGGTGTTGCTCTTGAACATAAATCCAACCTGGGTTTCTCCTGTTTGGGGACCTGCATTGAAATTTCTACAAGACCATCCCCAGATGAGAAATGGTATCAAAGAGAAAATCTTTCAGGCCTTGAGTGGAACATGCATAATGTAAGAACTGAGGTCATCCCCAGCCCAATCCTATAATTACTCTGCCCTATAGCTTCTCAGCTCATGTGCAAGTGGGTTGAGTGGGCATACTTTGGGTGTTGGTGATGAATTCCAGAAACTTCCACAGTAGGTAGAGCCCCTATATCCTATCAGTTAACACAATGTGGAAACCATCTCTTTCTTTGGCAACCAATTATTATTATAGCCAATAATCACCTTAAATATGCTGATCATAGAAGAAAACTGCAGGGCGCTTGGCCCCATGGAAGTCTTATTCACAAGAATACTTAGGTAGGAAGGCACAGAATTAAGCCATAGCTCCGTGGTGGTAGCTCAGGAATAATATGACCTTGGAAAGACATGGAAGGCTTCCTGGAGGCGGGGAGGAGATTTGATGTTATATGTCTGTTGTTAGCCCCCAGCTTCTACTGGACCTGTTTTATTAGCATTTGTATTTGGCAGAAATATCTTTGCTTGCTCACCCTCTCATTCTCAGAGCCTGTGAAAGCTCTTGTCAAAATGGGAACCAGGTTTGGATAATTAGGAGTGTCTGCGGAGAAAGAAGCAAGTTCTGCTGTTTCCCTCCCTCCCTGTAGCTGGGCTGCCAGGGACCATTCCCCATAGCTTTTACTCAGAGCTTCTGCTGATTGCCCTTGTTTGGCGTGGGTGCTCCCTTCACCTTGGTTTTTATATATGAGAATCCAGGAAGCAGGGGCTGAGTTGGCTTTGCAAAGTGCCTTGCACACTCATGCATGGGAAGGACTGCTGCATTTGTGCTGGAGGTGGAGGAACTAGCTAAAGAGGAAGGGTTAGAAGAGAATGACCCAGGTCACAGGCTGCCACTCTCACATCATCAACCCAGTACTTACAAGTAAGGGCTCAGGTTGGGTGCCTACAATGAGCCAGCTGTTCCATGGGTCCTGTTTTTTACTTATCCAGGAAATCCTACACAATAGTTTTGCTATCCCCATTTTGCAGATGGAAAGTAGAGTCTTGAGAGGCTAAGTCACTGATCCAAAGTCCCACTGCTGGTGGGACTTTTGAGGTGAGGATACAGCAAAGTCCTCCCAGGATTTCACTTTGAGCAAAGGACCTAAACTTTGGGTTAGGTCCCCCCAACCCGAAGTCTCCCCTGCTCTTGTCTTCTCATGCCTTAAATCACCTGTGAGTTCCTCTGCCATTAGGCCAAAAACCAGATTTAAAAGTTCCCTTGTTCAAGTTTGCATCCACCCCTCAGATAAATTTCTTGCCTTATTTTACTCTTTTACTTTCAAAAACAATAAGCATATGGGCCTCCCCGGTGGTGCAGCAGTTGTGCGCTGGGTTGCGAAGCTGCCTACAGCCTCTAAGGTACCGGTTCGATCCCCGGCTGCTCCCCGGCCACGGGAGGAGGGTCCCGCATGGCGCGCAGACCTCTCCTGCTGCCCGCTGCTCCCCTCAGCAGTGTACTTCGGTCCTTCTGCCTGCTCTGTTCCCCGCTCTTGCTCTGGTGAATTCTCTCGCTCTCCCACGCTTCTGACTGTACCCAGTGCTTGTATAAATAAATAAATAAATCTTTAAAAAAAAACCCAATAAGCATAGACCACTAATAAATGAAAATAAATTTGTACCATTTCAGAATTCTGAAAAAGAAAATATCCTAGGAGGAGTCAGGTTATATTGCATATTATTTCATCTGATCTCCTTTGCCTGCCCTAATTCCTCACTTCTAGTATCCAAGACCTCAAAATCAATTTTTTACCATATATTTTATTTATTTTATTATTTCCTCCCTTGCTTTGGGCTCTATCACAATATTATTTCTCTCCCTTTACAACACAATGAATTATAAATCTTCCACTCTGGATCATACTAAACTCTTCCAAATGTATTTCCTGGATGATTTAGTCCCGGTTTCTTCCCATCTGAACTTGGAACTGGTGATTAACTATGGCCCTCGTTTATACTTGTCTTAAAATCCCACCATAAATTCCATCGGTTGTTCCACTAGTGTTTTATTGCTTTGATTTGTGGACTTGCCCAAATGAGACTTTCCTTCATGTCCAGGAGGCTGACCTGGAGGAAGTCAAAATATCTGAGGATAAAGCTTAAATATCTAGCCAGAGGTAATAGGATGAAGTCAATCTGTAACTAGTGAATTCATCACACCAAATGCTTTAAAAACCTTTTGCTAGGAGTTTACACAATTTTTATTATTACTGCCGGAGTTACTTTGGCCTACTGAGACTGACATCTTGTTATTCCCTTTGAAAGTATTTCAACAGCAATGCAGAAGGGTCAACCCGTTGTCTGGCTACTTTTGCTCTCAGTTACTACAAAACAAGATGGTGTCAACATTGGGTCCAGACAGCTCTCTGTTCCCTACCTTTTCTGTCCTCAAGATTTCCTTCCCTGGATGACCACTGTTTGGGAAAGCAAAAAGTTTAATACCAATTGAGCAAAGGCCTAGGAGTTTTGCTTGCCTTTGGAAACCTCCATGTTCACTGTAGTACAGTTGCATTGTCTGCCTTCTTTTGATGAGAAGGGAGAAGGCAGAGTTTTATTAAACTATATAAATGCACCTGAGCTAAACATCCCTCCCTGGTGTCCTGAGAGAGGGAGGATATCAAACATTATATAACATAAGTAACGCAATGCAGATAAAGTCCCTAGCATGGTGTCTGGCCTCTAGGAAGTACTCAGTAAAGGGGGCACCGTTCTCCTTCTTCCTTTGTGAGGTCATATGCCTGTGGAAGGAGCCTAAAAATGCCCCTGAGTAGTTTTCAAGTCGTTGAGGGCACAGAAAGGTCCCCATTGGCCCACCCTTCTTCTGCCCCTCTCGCCCCGTGCCTCCTACTCCCTGCCACCTGGAATTTGGCCCAGAACACATGGATGCAGCTGTAGTCCTCAGGAGACACAGCTTCCATGGAAAAGGAACTGAAAGGACTGGGAAGGGAGGCCTGTTACAAAACCACACCTTTGAGACTGGCAAACCAATCCCTTTGAGCTGCCTCAAAGAGATGTCTAATCCTTTGCCTTCAGACACAACTGCGGTAACTCTTTTCCGAAGGGAAGGAGTTTTGCCTTCTTGGTAAAGCTATTTCGGTAGGATTAGTTTTAATCCCTGCTCTGTAATTCACTTTGCTTACGATTTGGATGTTCTTACTCCTTCTACCTGGCACCAACTCTGCGTGCTGCAATTTTCAGACTCCCTTTTGACCAGGTTGCTGAGCTTGCTGGTCTAGCCAAGGCAGCGTCCGGCCCATGGGCTAAAGGCTTGAACAATGACTTTATTTTCTGTACCAACAGCACCAAGACTTAGGAGAAACAGGCTATTTTTACATAGTGATGTAACTTGCTGCACACATGTTAAGGTTCTCCATTTGTTAAATATAGTTATTTCTATTTTGAAACTGAAAGAGCTGGCTGCAATTCTGGAAAGGTAGGACCCTGCAGATGCCAGGAAGAACATGCCTGATGGACAAGGCAGACTTCTGAAGCTAGTCTTTTGAAAGGCAAGGGTGGGCCCATCCAGGGTTGCGAGAACTCCTTTTGGGCTCAGACGGTCTTGCCTCTGCTCTTTGTAGGCTGCAATCTACGGCACCAGGCACACTGGTGGAGTGTGATGTAAGCTGGGGTGGGGAGGGTGGACTCCAGAATGTGCACTTTAGGGTTCTGGTGCCATTTGAGATACTGCCTTGGATGGCAGCTATGTGGTGGGGGGGGGGCGGGAGGAGACGGATATCTCTCCCAGTTATGTGTTTCCAAAGAGAAGAGGGTACCTGGTAAAGGCACATGTGCCCCCAGGGAGGGGCAGGTCTGCCCTTCAACTATTAGCCCGGAAGTGTGAGGGTGACGATGCCAGCCAGCAGCTTGGTTCCCAAAGTACCTGCGGGGACGATCACCCTCCTTTCATTGGTGGTCATGTTGGGAGGCGGTGGGCCGTTCTTCTCGTCCATGTAGCTGTTGTAGTTCATGGCATTGGACTCGCCTCCACCAACCAGCTTGCTGCATTTGCTAACACTGCAGTCCACCGGAGACTCCCTGGAGGAGAGGAGACAAAACCCAGAGGAAGTGACCATGGCCACAGCGCACCCCAGCCGGTGACTCGGACAGCCGTGGAGCCATTCCCAGTACCATCTGGTGCTGTTGCTGTCACCTTATTTCTGTCCTCCACGCTCCCACCGGGGTTTTCTCCAACTTCTAGCCCAATCCTATAATTACTATGTTTAAAGGCTTTTGGCAGGTTCCTCTGCCCTCAGCCTGGAGCCTGGCTTCTGCGTCCAGTACTGCAGCCCTCCCACCCTGACTGTCATTCTCATTTTTAGCCTTGTTGCCTGGCCGCCTACACCTCAGAGGCACTGGCCTTCCTTCTTGCTCCCTGGCAGGTCTTCTCTATGCTCCCTCGGCACCTCACTTCTGTCTTGAGGGAGAGAGGTCCCCCCTCTCCTGTCCCACTGGACCCTACTCCCTGTCACCTAGAATTTGGCCCAGGACAATTGGATGCGGTTGTAGTCCTAGGAGACCCAGGTTCCATGGAAAACAAACACAAAGGGCCTGGGAAGGGCAGGCCAACTGTCATACCGTTCAGGTGCCCTATCCCTGGCTGGACTAGAAGTTTCCTGGGGATGGTGTCCTTATTTTCTTTTTTCAACTTCAAGTATTTAATAAGGTGCGTTGCATAGAATGTGAGTGATTAATATCTCCTGAGTGAATTATATCTATGGCATGTATATAATTTTAACACTCTCTCATATACTGTTCTATTTGAACTTCCCAATAACACTCCAGGAGAGGCATAGCAAGGGTTAATAGCTCCTGTTCTATGGTTAAGGAAATTGGGAGGTGAGGTGACTTCTGGGGTAGGGGGATTGTTGCCCAGCTTGTAAAGGTGGAAGTAGAATGAAGACTTGGGCCTTGGGGGTTAAGCTTCTCTTTCTGAACACATAGCGAAAGTGCTGTTTGCTGAGTGGAGGAAGGATAGACTTCAAGAACTTCAACCTGACAGAGAGGCCGTGGCCCCGTGGCATTCCACCACCACGGTCCCTGGAGAAGCATATGAAAATGCACACGGAACGAAGCAATCACCCAACTGCGCCTGGAAGTCTGGGGCTCAATTAGCACCTGGTGTTTTGCAACCTGGGAGCAGAGAGGCCGCTCATTCAGCTCAGCCATGGACAGTTGTCTGGAGCGCTGAGCCAACACCCCGTTTGGAGCCATCTGGTGCCCTAAAGCAACTGGCAGAATCCTACACATACCCCCACCCAGCATGGCTCCTGGATCCTCCCAGCATGCCTGGGGAGAAGTGCCACCCTGCCCTGCCTTAAGCCTCCACTCTGTCACTCGGCAGCAGCAGGGCCAAAGAAGACAAGGAATAGCAGGAGCAGGAAGCATCAGTTCTGGCAAGCTGGGAGACAGCCAGTTCTCCCCAGTGCTCTAAACCAGGCCTTCAGACCAAGTTCAGATAAGGTTCAGATTACAGCCGGCCAACACTGGGGCCGCAGACCTCTCCCAGCTTTCCAAAGGCCTGGCTGCTGCCCACCCTCGCAGCTGTGGGCAGGAGGGGACCAGGGGGAGGCCTTCAGGGTCAGGGTGGTGCCCTGCAGGGCCCTGCCCATCCCGCCACGTGGTGGCGGCCGCTCCAAAAGCAGGGAGAGCCTTCACTAAGCCAGAGCAGGAGCCACAGCCCAGGAGGGCGGGGACTTGGGCGGGTGTGTGGGGAGGGGGGCGGGGGCCCGAACACATTCAATAAAGAAAATTAAATGAATTTGTTTCCTAATCTGAAAGGAAAAAAATATCGAAGATCACTTATCATAGCTGGGAGATAAATGCTCCACTGAGATATTAGAAGTCAGACGGTAATTTTTTCCTGATGTTTTACAGAGGGGAACATGGGCTGAAAATGAAAATAAGATGTATAACTTACACATGTTAGAATTTAAGGTTTTACTATTCGCCTACTGTTTTTCCAGGCAGAGAACCAAGAACCAGCCGTCAGAGGCCCAGATTGTTGAAGGTTTAATGTCCCCATGGCAGTCTGAGGGGAGGCAGTAGCACATCGGGGCTTTTCACCAGAGTTTGGCCCTTTGGCTTCTGCTGCTGAAGGACTTGGCCTGAGATGAAGCAGTCCCAGAAAGACCCTGGTCCTGTGTCTGAGCTGAGCTCTGGCTGAGCTCGCCAGGTCCCACACCCTCCTCAGGGCTAACCACAAGCGGGTGCGTGTGCACACAAACACACATGCATGCGTGCACACACATACACAAATGCATGCACACATGTGCACCCAAACACATGCACACACGCACACATGCATGCACACACGTACCCCAACACACACGCACACACACACACGCCCCCAACTATGGTCTGGCGGCCTTTCCCAGCATACTTGTCAGTTGTGAAACAACCAAGTGCAGCAGAAGTTTGGAGGATTAAGTTGGCCTTTACCCAAGACAGCAACGTTTTCATTGGCTGGGAACACTGTGGCAAAGGGTGGGGTTGTCAGAGCACACACTTCCCCGGGCGGATGCTGGAGTGCAAGGGCTGTGGGCAGGGGCGAGGGAACTTTCAGCAAGAAGAGCAATGTTCCAGGCGGGGGCATGCTGGGAGAGGAGGGGCCGGCCCCTCAGGCTGCGCTCCCGCCAGGAACATGGACAGATGAGTTTTGAAAAATTTGTTTCCTCATTCGCCTGGTCTAGGGGATTTCTGAACCCAAACCTGACCCCTGGCCATGTAGAGGTGAGACGTCAGAACCAGAGGGATCACACAGATGAAGTGACTCTCTCTGTGCAGGCTCCTGTCCTGCGCAGGGCCAGTCCCTGGTGCCGGGAGTAGAGAAACATGAATTTGGTAAAAGCTGCTGGTATGTAACCCGGGGAGAAGAGGAGCCGAGAGCACCCGAGAGATCAGCACCTGCTAGGGTAGGAGGTGGGTGCAGGGGAGGCAGCGGGGCCAGCTCCTGAGGACAACATCAGAACCGCTGTGATGACCTGGGCCCTCTTGCTGGAGGCCATCAGTGGTTGGAACCTCCTGTTTCTTATCTCATAGAAGCTCTCCCCTCCTTCCTCCAGCTCCTGTGGGTGCACCTGCTTGCCACTGGGCAAGGTGATCTTGCCTGGTCACTTGCCCTTTGGTGCTTCTCCCAGCCAATGAGGACAGAGTGAGGCTCTGTCCTCGGTCCCAGATCGCTCTGCTTGGAGAAGCCCTGGCACCGGCTCTGGACTGCTTTCCATGCCCAGGCCAGCCCAACTCTGACTGCTCCGGGAGAGAAGGAAGGAAAGCCATACCTTTACTGCTGGCCTGTCACACAGCTCTCTGGTCTGCAGCTCCCAGGCGCTGTACATCCCTTGCATGCAGCCATTGGGCTCACCAGCTATTGCTAAGGGTGGGTACAGGTGAAGCACAGCATAAAAGCTGCTTTTTAATGAGGCAGCTGGCGCCTCTGAAGAGGGCCCAGAATGAAAACAAGCGAGAAGGAGGGGGGGAGCATGGATCCAGGGGAAGATTGTGCCATTCAGCTTGCTTGCACTGCTGCTAATTTGTATTGAGACCTGCACTTACAGCTAGCATGGGGCTGGGGCCCACAGCAGCTATTAGCGCTGGGACAGGAGACAAGAGGGCCTGGAGCACTACAATAGAGCAGGGAGGAGGGAGTCACTTAGCATCTCCATCTCAGACCAGGGAGAGACGTGGCTGGGAGGCCACAGCAAAGGGACACGGACTCTGCAGCCTTGTCCTTTATTCTCACCTCAGGACATAGGAGCTTTACTCAGAGACCATTTTTGCATATTCAATGAACATTGTTTTACAAAGATTGTTGCTGTTATCCAAAAGTGGCTTGCAAGCTGCTAAGCAATTTAAATCAAAGTGAGAAATATTTGGATAAAAGATTTCAATGATTTCTCCCAAAGGTAACCTCTTTAGACTTTGTGCAACATCTTCTCTACCTTCTATTCAACCCAGATGATTTAACTCAAGGCATATCATCCAGATCCCCAAATCTGAAGCCCAGACTTATTTACTCTCAATAACACAGTGACCCAAAAGTCATACCACCCATGTGACAGTTCAAAGGTTCCCCAAGCCACACGGTTGTATTAGGGACTCTCACGAGTGTCTTCCATGTGATGAGTACATTGCACAAAAATCAACAATCTCTCTTGTCTTTAGACATTCCAAAGGATGCATATGTGGAAGTGTGCATATGATATTTTTGTTTTTGAAAACTATATGCAATAGATTAAAAGTGAATTTCAAGAAAAGAAATCATCCATTATAAAGCCATCACCCTAACTAACAGCTGTTTTCATCTCCATACATTGTAGATGTTCCTAGCTTCTCCAGAATCCAGAACATAACCTCCCACCCAGCCTGTGTGTGACACGCATCATACTGTAAGTTTCGGAATGAACCCAGGAACCGTGATTTGTGGACAGAGACACAAGGAACAGGTGTGTGATGCTGATCATACTGTGTGGGACGGGAAGTCTCTGGGTGTCCTCAAAGGGCATCTGGAGCCTGGGGGGCCATGCAAGGAGGATGGGGCAGGCTGCTGAGGCCTCAGGCTCTACACCCAGGCAAGCAAGCACTTGCCTTTCCCCACCATAAACTGATATTCTTTGCTCCGTGGGATGTTTTCCCCAATCCCGTGGTTGAGACAGGATGCAGCTGAGAGTTATGTGCAGACCACAGCTTGGATCAAGTTGCTGAAGTCTCCGTCCAACACGGAACCTATGGCCTGTGCTGCTTAAGACAAACTCACCCTAACAGATACCCCAAACAGTAAGATAGGAAGTAGAGTAAATCTCTCACAACCTGAGCTAACTTGACTTTTTCTGAGTTCCCAAACCTCAGACCCTCCACTTGACCTTTGCCGCTGGCCCAAAGGACTTGCTGCTACAATAAAAAGCAAGAAGGCATGTAGCTTTAGGCACACAATTGCCTCCTCCAGAGACCCAAATATCTGTGGAACCTCCAATAAGCATAAAAAATTTAGTGAGAAACCCAAGTTACCAAAGAACTGGAGAGAATTTACTGTGAACCACAGGGCAGTCCCAAATATTCCAGCCCAGCACCATCCTTTCAAAGTGGAATATGAGGGCCTCCCTGGTGGCACAGGGATTAAGTCTCAGTGCCATCAAACTATCATCAGCCACTGCACAAGAGTTTGATCCCCGGCAAGGGAGCTGAACCACATGGCACAGCAGACCTCTCCTGTCTCTCCCACTGCTCCCCTCAGCAGTGTATTTCAGTAGATCTGCCTATTCTGCTCCCCACTCTGTCTCTGCTGAATCATCTCACCTCCCCATACTTCTGGCCTACACCCCAGTTCTTGCATGCATAAATAAATAAAAAAATACATCTTTAAAAAATTGTTTTTTTAAAAGTGGAATATGAGCCACATAGGTAATTAAAAATTTTCTAGTAGACATATTTTTAAAATTAAAAAATAGGTGAAATGGATTTTAACAGTGTATTTACAATGTATTAAAAACTAGCTCAATAGTCAAAAGGTTATTTCAACATCATCAATATAAAAATGAATTAATGAGATATTTTGCATATTTTTCCATACTAAGTCTTCTAAATCTAGTACGTATTTGACATCCAGGGCACAGGTCAATTTTTGTGTAACCACATTTCAAGTGCTCAACAGCAACCTGTGTGAGTGGCTACAGCGTGACACAGCACAAATCTAGTCCATGAGCCAAGAAATCCCAAATTACAACCTCTGCTCTGGTTTTCTAGTCTGTAGTCAGAACTATCTTTTGCATCATGGTGAATCAGCCCTCTGAAAACCATCAAACCATATAACCAGAAATGCAGCCATTATCAGTAATACTCGGGGGACTTGAAGAGCCCAGGTTGGAGGGTGAGACATTTAAATTCACTGGCATCTGTTTCATTGTGTTACTTTTGCATGATCTAATTGTGGGACCTGACATGGTTCCATCCTAAGCAAAGACTTTTTTGAAAACCCTTGCTCTCTGTGGCCCACCAGCCCAGCCTACACGCGAGCACTTAGAGGATATTTATGAGGTGCTGGTGATGGCTGCGCCTGACCTGTGTTTCTGAAAGCCCACTGTGTCTTCTTTGTTCCAACAAAGTGGGGAGCAGTGGTGAGATGACATCTGTCTTTCTGAACCTACTTTGTTACCTGCTGTTAGTCTGGGTCAATCAGGCAAATCAAAAGCAGGGGCTGCTTTGTGCAATGAGAACCACGTAAAGAGTAGGTCTGCTCTGGGCAGCACAGCACTCCAGCTGCCTTCTGGTATGACTGGAGCTAGGGAGGACCTGACAAGTGACTTCTGAAAACTGGTTTCTTTTGGAGACCCTATTTTCCCAGGAAGATTAACTTGGAGGACTTGTGGCATCCCTGGGAGTAGGGGACAGCATAGTCAGCTTCCAAATGCAGCCTCTCAGCACAAACGCAGACTCGCTCTGGGGACTATCACCAGGTTGTGTCTGTCCTGGCTCAGGTCCTACCTGACTTTGAGAAAGCATCTTCACCTTTGCATCTGGTTAGCCAGACACGTGGGTACTTATTTGTTTGATTTCCTGAGCATCTACCATGGGCCAGGCACTGCTCAGTACGTAAAACATTTTACTGAGGAGTATAACAAGAACCAGGAAGAGAGAAGAAGAAGAATCAATGCTAGGTAATGAGAGACAGTGCTGTTCTAGATCAGGTGGAGGCAAGACTTCCAAGAAGGTGACATTCTGGGAAAGACCTAAAACAAGTGAGGGAGGGAGTCAGATGACTAGATGGAGCAGAAATGATCCAGAAAAAAGCAACACCAAGGAGGAGACTCCCAGGTGGGCATGTGTGTGGGGTCCAGGAGCAGCTAGAGTCTCGTGGTGTGGAGGGAAAAGGTGGGGTGGGGGGTGGGGAGCAGGTGTTAGAGGGAGGAGGATGGGGCACCCAAGGGACTTTGGATTTTGTTGTAAGCCATTAAAGGCCTTGGAGTGAGAGAGTTAAATATTTAATATTTAAATATTAAAAATATTTAATGCTCTCTGAAGAATAGACTTCAGGAAGGATAGGGGAAGTGGGGGAACAGGGCTACGTCCTGGGCTAGGAAGAGAGCTGCAGCTTGGATGGGGGTGGGAGGCAGTGGGTGATGGTGGTCGGATACAGTGTACCACAGACCAAAGCCTTCAGGGGTGGGGTCTGGCTTTCTAACATGCTCTTGGGGTCAGGTCAGATTGGGAATCATTGTGGAATTGCCTTCTTCAATATTGGGGGGCAGTGTAAATGAGCAAATGGATGCAAGAACACCATATCCAGTTGGAGAGGAAGGGCTGGGAAAGTAGCTCATAGGGCAGGAATCAGAAAGCGTGGGTCCTGATGGGAGATCACTGCCTCCCAGTCCTTAGACTCTTCTCCACTCAAAGCCCAAAGTGCCTTCATACTTTAAAGTACAGTTACAACAAGCAATTCCACTCCTAGATATTTACCCAAATGACACAGAAACAGTAATTCCAAAGACCTGCACCCCTGTGTTTATAGCAGCACTATTTACAATAGCTAAGTATGGAAACAACCCAAATGCCCCAAAACAGATGACTGGCTCAAGAAGATGTGGTACATATACACCATGGAATATTACTCAGCAATCAAAAAGGATAAACACATGCAGTTTGCAGCAACATGGATGGCGCTGGAAGGGATCATGCTTAGCGAAATAAGTCAGAAAGAAAAAGAAAAATACCGGATGGTCTCACTCATAGCAGGAATTTAGAAAACCTAAATAAGAGACCAGGAAAAAGACTAATTAATACAAAGTAAAAATCAAAATCAACAAGCAACTTAAATCAGAGACACACTATGGGGGGGGCAGGGAAAGGAAGGACTAGAGTCAAAATAAGTGGGAAGATGCAATTGTATGGGGAATATAACCTTAATGAAAATGCATACTTTGTGCAAAAAAGAAAAAAGATGTAAGAATTATATAAAATAAAATATTTAAATAAAAAAAAAGTACAGTTACAACAGCTACCTCAGAGGATAGCGTAAGGAGCAAAAGATAATAGGGGAAAATGTTTCACAAACTCTGCCCTACTGAACTGTAAGGAGAAGCACATGACCCTTATTATCTATGAAAAAAGAAACTCATTCCAGGGGCTCCTGGCTTAGAACCTCTGAACCTTCCTGAAATCTTAAGATTCTGGGAAGGTGGCTGGGATCCCAGTCACTAGATTTGGTTAGTGGGATTGCAATGTGGTGGGGCTGGCTGTTCCACAAGGGGCTTGTCTGGGGGAGGTCTCCTTCCAGCCACAAGCTTGCTCCCTTTTTTTCATCTCTCTCTACCCTGGTATCTGTAGAGACCTCATCCATACTCACAGTTCCAACTCTATGAAGATGATACCCAAACCTAATTCCAGCCTCCAAATATTATCTGTGCTTCAGTTCCCAAAGCTAGAAGGCAATTCTATCTGAATGTTCTACTGTCTGCTGTTCTACCGTCTGTTGAATGTTCTACTGTCTGCTGAATGTTCTAGTGTTTTCTCTCAACCCTCCCCTAACATGCTTTAATAGTTATTCACTTCAACCTTATGAATTATCTCTTTGGAATGTCCCTTGTGTAACTATCTCTTTTTATTTCCATAATCATTACCATCATCCTGGTTCAGAACTTTATGATTTCTTATCTGGGATCTATCAAGAGCTTACCTTTTGGGCTTTCCCCACCCTGCTTGCTCTCTTGTCTTAAATCACAGCTCTGAGATGCTAACTGTCACATCAGTGCTTAAAGTTGGTGTCTGCCTATAGAATAAATTCCATGTTTTTTAGCCTGCCATTCAGGGCCCAGGCTCATTTGCCATTTTTCGGTCTGTGCTGCAAATCCATTCATGGATTGCCTGGCGTTTCAGGATGAGAAGATACTTTCTCCCTTTCAAACCTTTACTCATAACCATCGCCCTCATGATGGAGCAATTTTGAGTCCCAGGCACTGTCCTGTGTCCTTCCCCTACAGCTTTCGTGATAACCCTGCACCAAGCCTGTGAAGTGTCGATAGATCCGCCAGCCCTATTTTAGGGAAGAGGTCAATAACTTATGAAGAGGCAAAGCCTGGACCAGTCCACCAGTGGGCACTTCTCTGCCCACATGATTTTCTCTCTTAGACTCTCTTCTTCCATTTCTATCTGTACAGTCCTCCCTGCCCCAAGCAACGAACACGCTTTCCAATTGTACTGTGTCCTCCCTTGCACGGTAAGCCCTTGTCTATATCCAGTGTTATCGTCATTCCTAGACTTGTGCTTTAGGAATGGTTTGGCCAGCCTTGCACTAGGGCCACCTACCCAGAGAGCTTAAGTGTCTTCAACAAGATGGGAAGAGAGTCTAGGTGCTAAGTTATCCAAAAGGGGCTATACCTAGGCTGGCACAACACGGGTGTTCAAGCAGTGTGTGCAGGCCACCAAGGCCTCTGAACGGGGGCCCAGAGGGCCAGGTCTAATGCCCCTCTCTCAACTCAGATTCCCTGGCCCAGCCCAGAGCCCCATCTGCTGCAGACACCCTAAGGTCAGGAGCCAGTTGGTCAGATGTGCCTGACTCAGACACCTGGGGAGTGAGTTGCTGGGTCTGACCTTGAGCAGCATGGGGGCCCGGTGGGCTTACCTGGATCCATTCATGTGGTCATACTCTCGCTTCACATTGACCCTCACTGGCTGGTTAATCCACTCCTGCTGTGGGGGCAGAGGGTTGATTTTGTGGGGCTGCCCGAAGTCAGGACTCCCTGAGGCGGTCATGTCGGCCTTGGAGAGATGGGCGGCTGCTCCGTATGCCGAGTCGAAGAGGGACTGGTCGTCGCTCACCACCGACAGAGCCTCCTGGAAGATCAGAGACAGAGACAGAGAGGTGGGTGTCATTCTGTGCAGTCAAACAGCGCTCTCCCTCTGAGCTGGCTGAGTGGCACGGCTGCCAAGGAGGCCTGTCCCAACTGCTTTTTGACTCATTTTCCGGGGGGCAAGTTATGCAAAGTGGATGGGTTCTCTCTCTGGTAAGCAGGGAATCTGGACTGGGGGACCCTCAAGAGTGTGTCTACTTGTTGAGCCTGTAGACTGGGACTCTCAGAAAGCAGGTTGGAGAGGGGGAGGCCGAGAAGCCAGGTCCCACCCCCTGTTCAAAGAGCGCCATGGCTGAGCATGTGCTTACAGGGTACAGGTAAGATTCTCAGGAGCTGCATGGAGCAGTGGAGCTATGAAAGGGCATGTGTGCAAGCATTTATTTTGTAGGCGAGGCCAGGGAGACCCATCCAAAGAATTAAGTATCAGCTTAAGAGCACACAGAGGAAGGGTGGGGCCAGGGCTGTGGCCCCAACTAATTTCAGTTTCCTTATCTGTAAACAGGAATAAGAATAGCTTTTTTCGGAGTTGATAGGTGGACTAAGTGAGAAGCTGTACGTACAGGTGTCTCCAGCTTGCTAGATATGCCCAGCGGTTTTCTTGGGGGCCCTGGGGTGTGCTGGTGTAACCCACACAATGTGGGTGGGAGGCTGCTGGCCTCCACAGAGCATAGTGCTCTGTCATGCTTTCTTGCCTGACTCCTTGAGATGACAGTTTCCTCTCTTAATTGTGGCAATTCAGCCTGCGCAACAAGGGGGCTGGAATCTCAGCTATGTGGGTGGGGACAAAAAGGGAAGACCCTCTGAAGGAGGTCGTCTTGTCTTCCCTCGCACACTGTCCCAACAGCAGCAGGCAGGTTTGATTCGTGGAGATCCCACATTGCAATGAATTGCACTTTCCAGAAATCTTCTACCAACCAAAGCACAGTAAGATTGTTCTATTATTCCAAGTGTCATCAAATCGCAGGGACCCTGAGACATGGAACAAGGGCATGGTGCTCCCTCTGTCACATAATTACACCAAATTAAATTGACCATTTTTCAGAAAAGATGATAATAACCTATAATCTAGAATTAATTTAGAGTCTATAGAATCTAGAATTATACAATTCTGCAATTGTCAGGATAAGAAGGAATAATCCTAAATAAGGGACCAGGAAAAAGACTAATTAATACAAAGTAAAAATCAAAATCAACAAGCAACTATAGACCAGAGACATACTATGGGGGCGGGTGGGGAGGGATAGGTGGGGTTAGGAAGGACTAGGGTCAAAATAAGGGGGGGGCTGCAATTGTGTGGGGAATATAACCAAAATGAAAATGCATACATTGTGCAAAAATGAAAAATGATGTAAGAATTATATAAAATAAAAATATTAATTAAAAAAAGAAGAAGGAGGGGCCTCCCCGGTGGCGCAGCGGTTGAGCGCTGGGTTGCGAGGCTGCCCGCAGCCTCTGCGGCGCCGGTTCGATCCCCGGCTGCTCCCCGGCCACCGGAGGAGGGTCCCACATGGTGCGCAGACCTCTCCTGCCGCCCGCTGCTCCCCTCAGCAGTGTACTTCGGTCCTTCTGCCTGCTCTGCTCCCCGCTCTGGCTCTGGTGAATTCTCTCACCCTCCCGCACTTCTGACTGTACCCAGTGCATGTATAAACAAAACAAACAAAACAAACAAACCAGCAAACAAATAAATAAAGCATGCCTCTATTAAAAAAAAAAAAAAAATTTAAAAAAAATAAAATAAAAATAAAAAAAAAAAAAAAAGAAGAAGGAATAATACACAAAAATGCTTACAACACTCTCTGGAACATAGTACGTGGCAACCAATAAGCATTTGCTAAATTCATCATTAGTGTTCAAGTTCAGAGTCTCTTAGGCCACCTGTTAAGGCCGAAACTGTTCCCTTAAGATTCATATATTGAAGCCCTAACCCCAGAATCTCAGAATGTGATGGTATTTGGAGGTAGTTCTTTAAAGTGATGATTAAGTTAAAATGAGAACATTAGTTTGGGTTCTGATCCAATGCAAAGTGACTAGTGTCCTTATAAGAGGAGGAAACTTGAACACATGGATACAGGGATGAATGTGCACAGGGAGCTCACGTGGAGAGGCAGTAAGAGCCACCCGCCTGCATGCCAGAGAGGCCTCAGAACCCCACTGACACTCTGACCTTGGACTTCCAGTTTCATTTTTCAGTAGAAGCTTCCTTTAGAATATAGTTCACAATTCAGTCAAGTAATAACACCCCAGGGAGAGAAAACTCTGATTTATTCAAGAACATTCACACTTCTTCTATCCAGGCTGTGCCGGGTCCACACATGTGTGCTTCCCTCAGAATTTCTCTTCCAGACTCTTTCCTCTGTGACCACACACCTCCCCACTCCTCCCTGTGCAGTCCACCTTGCATAGTCCCTGGTCCAACCAAGGTCCCTTGAAAGCTGTAAACATCTCTGTGACCCTGCGCAACTCTGCTGGTACCTTTGCGAGCTCACTCCTACCTACCACGGCTTTGCCTCAGCTGCCCCTGTGCCTCTCATGATACCCCCGGCTGCACCTCCTGTCCAATGCTCACCATTCTTGCTGCTCCACCAAATGAGCCCCACTCGGCGCAATTCTGTGTCTTAGAGCTTGCTAGCCTGGTGCCGTGAGCATCATTTCTTTACCCTCCTACTCAGATGCCAGTCCAGCTCTTCCCATTTTGCTAGGTAAATGAGTTTTTCCTTAGCCCATGAAACCCATCCTGATCATACCCTCTGACTCACTGAGCTTCTAAAAACCCAATAAGAGTACTGCTTGGAAGACACACACACACACACACACACACACACACACTTTTCTGTTTGCAATCATGGATTGAACAAAGGACTCCCTAATTTTTTTGGTAACAGTGTGAAGGACAGAATTGGTGGTTGATGGAGGCTGGGAAGAGAGAGAAGATAAAGAAGAACTCTTCCCTCTCTGGCCTGCTAGACTGAGTTAGAAAATGTAATATGGGCAGGGGTGAGAGATGAGGGGCTGCTAAGTAGTAATTACAGATTTGGGGAGACAAGTCCCTAAGCAAGGTGATCTGAGGCCTTGGTGAAAAATTAGAGTTGGAGAGAACATTTTATGCCAGGACATAGCTACCTTTTTGCCAGACAAGGCTGAGAGTTACGAGAGCATCCCTAGACCATGCCCTTGACAAGTATGCCACCACCTCTATGACAGGCAGGGCCAGTGAGGAGCCTTCGAGGTGGCTCTGAGAGCAGCAGGCACAGTGAGGGGAGATGGACATGGGGCGGGAAGAGGCCAGCTTGGAGTATGGCGCTAGGTGACAGACGGACAGACTAGTGTGAGCACAGTGTGCACTGTGCGGGCTCAGGGAACTCAGCAGATGGTAAATAGATGTGGTTGTGGGCCCCAAGGTGCTGCTTTTATCAGGTGAGGAGCTGGCAAACATCTCAACTGCATACTTGAAGCTTGTCACACACGTGTAGCATGGCTATTGCATGCATGTCTGATAAGGCTGTTTACTTTTACTTAAACTCAAAGCTTTTTAATGTCTTGAAACTCTTATTTGCACTTAAAACTCTTTACAGGCATAAGTACATTGTGGGTGTTCCAGAATCTTTCACTGAGGAAATGGCAAGTATTTCACTTTGGGCGGATAGACAGAACATGGAACGAACACCAGCATAAGAATTCACCAACCATCCTGAGTGGCTCGGTTCCTTCAGTTTTTAAAGACTTTACTTCTACTGATGAGGACACCACACTGCTCCTTTTCTTCAGGGGACACAAGGTATTCTGTTAAAGACTGCTTGAGCCCAGTTTCCTTTGGAGCATGCTACACAGAAATTGACTTCAAAGAGGGAAAGACAGAAGGTGTGGGCTTTTAACCCTGGCTGGTGTTGAGCTCTGGGGTTTCTCCTTGACCCAACAGCTGCCTATGTGAATCTTGAATTGGTTAGGAATTTGGTTCTGAGGAGCTCCCTTTGCTCTGCTGAATGCTGGGAAAGCCAGGCTTGTCATTCCCAATTTTCTAGTCCTCAGGCCACTGAGTGTTAGATTCAGAGGGAGGCACATAGTCCCTTGACTCCAAGCAATGTAGTGGCCCAGAATGTTAGTGCCCCGCTGGGCCCCTGTACCAGAGAGCTCAGGCAAGGCAACTATTTGGCAGAGTGAGTTCTGAGCTATCAGACAGCCATAATGGCTGGCTTAGTCAGCTTTCCTTCCTGAGACGCCCTGCTGGTCCAGGCAGCAGCAGAGGTCCATGGCCATGGGGTACCTGTCCTACTTGGGACTCTCCTTCCTGCCCAGTTTGGAAGAGACTCATTTATAATATACCCAGGGTGCTCATTCTAGAAAATAGAACAAAGTAGCAGACAATGATCAAAACACTTATTAAATAGATTCAATTATAAGCGCAATCTAATTTAATCCTCCCAGCCATTCTAATGAGGGAAGTATTTGTCACCCCTGTTTTTTTAGATGAGAAAATTGATATTCAGGGAACTAACTAACTTACTCAGGTTACACAGTAAGTGAGTATGATCTAGGATTTAAATTAAGGCCTGCTCCTGGGCACCACCCAAGTGGACCCTCATCTCCCTGAGGGTGACTTGTGTTTACTGAACTTCAAGCACAATCTTCAGATTCAAAGAGATTTGAGTTTCCATCCCAGTCCCATAGGTTGCTTATTAGTGCACCCCCTGTTGAAATTTTTTCACACACCCTGAACCCCTTTACTCATGTGCAGGTTGGGGCTAACAGCTATAAACACTGAATAAGGACACAAATCAAACACTTAAAATTCTTAGGGCATATAAACACTTCGGTTTTTTTTAATTTAATAAAAGATGCCCAATGTTGAAGGCTGATGTGAGAAACTGGAGATTGAGTAGGATAGGGGAGGAGATAAAGCCAGACAGATACCCGCTTTTCCTCTGCATTGGTTATTTTAAAGGAACCAAGATGCCCAAGGTTCAAAATCAGCAGGTTGCAGATAAA